CCCCTAGCAAGAAAGTAGGTACCTGGGTGTTAGTGGACTGATGTGGGTCGCACCCTGGGGGACAAGACTTAAGGACCCCAGTGGAATTAAGACAGTCCTCGATGACGCACAAACTTTCTTGGGTTATCCTGAGTGGCTAACCCCTCCGGGGTTAGAATTCTTAAGCTACATAAAGGGCGTCTTGGTTGAAGGAGGGGGAGGAGTCGACCCGGAGAGCATGTTAGCCAATGAGAAAGAACCTCATCAGTGAATCTTAATTTTGATTTGACTGATAAGTTGGTGATTTTTCTGGAAAAGAAGATATACCAATTTTTTAGTCTGTCCTGGACTAACAGTTTAAGGTGTATTTAACGTATGTACGTATATGTATATATGTAGAGCATTAGGTAAACGACCTTTTTAGCGCAGGATATATTATATATATATATATATATATAATATATATATATATATATATATATATATATATATTGACAGGTGTATTTCTCTCGTATATACAATGAGAAGTGTAATTCTGTCAGTGTATATACACTTACAGTTTAATTTAGTCGCTGTTATAGGTATTAAAGTAGTCTTGTCTGGTGGTGAAAAGGGTTTTACGTGCAGCCTTAATGACCCTTGCCTAGTGGATAGGCTTTAAACCCCTCATGAACCAAGCAGTCATTTAACGGCACGGGTGAACAATATGAAGATGCAGAGAACACCATAACTCATTTAAATTCCAAGATCCCTGGTGTTGGCCACGGAGACCCGCCTCCCCAGTATACCAAGAATAATAATCATTATTTCTACAAGTGCATGTATAACATGTACAGACCATAGCTGACATGTTTGACATGCTACAGTATAGAAAGCCCTTTGTTGTGGGAAAATTTCTGGCAAATTAGGTCATTTTGATCCCAGGATGCGACCCACACCAGTCCGACTAACGCCCTGTACCAATTTTACTGCTAGGTGAATAGGGACAGCGGGTGTCTTAGGGAAACACGTCCCAATGTTTCCTGCTGTACCCGGGGATCGAAACACGATGGAACGGTAAGGAGACAGAATGAATAATGACAGTAAAGGAGAGTCTCCATGACCTATCTCCGTCCCGCCATCTTGGAAGGGGTTTTAAAAAAATAATTTAACAATTTCTTCTACAATCATACACAAATAACCCGCACATAAAAGAGGAAGCTTACGACGACGTTTCGGCCCCACTTGGACCATTGACAAAGTCAATGTGACTTTGTCAATGGTCCAAGTCGGACCGAAACGTCCGTCGTAAGCTTCTCTCTTTTATGTGCGGGTTATTTGTGAAACGTTCCAGTCACGGTATTGTGCCTTTTTGTTATTTATCTTCTACATCATCCTTCTTCTGACACCTCACATCCAAGCTTAAAACCTCAGTTATTTCTTTTGTCTCTGCAACAGCCAAAAACAAACAAGAAAACGGGCCCTGAATTTAAAATTTTCTTGTAACCTCAGCATCCGTGACTTATCTTCCCAGGAGCACAGTTCACACACCCCTGTCATCCTTCAGTAAATTTTATTATAAATCACTTTTTAAACATTATGTCGATTGTGCACGCAAGTCTTTATAAAATATTGAATCTAGAAGGGATTTTTTGACCGAATGTATATTATTATACAGAAAAAAAAAATCCAAAAAACCATGACTGGAGGATACCCCAAAATAACCCGACTTGGACCATTAACTAGCCCCCACTAACACACGGAGGTGAGGGAGCCAGTATATTTTACTGGCCACCTCACTCTCTTTGTGTTAGTGTGACTTATTCTGGTCCAAGTCGGACCGAAGCTTTGTCGCAAGCTTCTCTCTCCTACGTTTGGTTATTTATGTATATATTATTACAGTTAACGGTTTTCATGATCTATGTTTCAAAGGGTGACTCGTTCATTCAATAGCATGTTAAGGCGTCGTTATTATACAGACTACAATCAGTACGTTGTTAATGGGGGAGTTTCAAGCCTATGGGACTGCACTAGGGCCATCATGGCGGGCGTATTACCTCATTAACCCGTCAAGATAACTTTAAAACCCCGTAAGAAAATAGATTAAATTCTCGATGTATATACACTGAGAGGTATAAAATGTCTTAGTTCATTAAAACAATCGCAAATAAGCTGTTAATAAATGCACTGTTGTCCAGTCCCTTCTTCACCAGCTTTCCAACGTAAGAAATTAATGACTGAGGTGGGAAATATCCAGAGGATGACTAATGTGAAATTAAGATACATGTACAACAGTTGGGTCTCTTTATTGGTGAAACATTTTGCTTACACCAACAGGTTTCCTTCAGTCAAACACAAAAGGAGCAGTAGAAATAAAGATGTTTGTAATCTACCCTTCAACTTTAGAGGTGGTCAGTCCCTCAGCCTGGAGAAGAGTTCACCTCCATAGTGCAAAAAAAAAAATATTGCGGAAATAACAATATAATATAACATTTAAAATACTTTCCCCTGCAGTTTTTTTTAAAAGGGGGCGCTGACCCCCCGCAAGCGACTCCAGATAAACTCCAGGTGAACTGATAAATACTCAGCTGATTGATTTTCTTTTACAGATTATTGTATATAAATATGTGTGTTTGAAAAGTTTAACTATGTGATATATAAGAACAGAGTTAATGTGAGGTGGAAGAAGAATTATGAGAGTTTGTTAAGGTGAACTATGAGCCAGAGTTACGAGTGAGAGGTGAATAGTGAGGTGGAATCATGACTCCACTGTTGTTAAACTCTCGTTCCCCGCCGAACTCTGAATTATTCTCTCCGTTATTTACTCCGCCTTTGTCCGTACCCGCCCCTTTGCTCCACAGAACCGTCGCCCATCTGCCATTCCGCCCACGCCCACGCCAGGATATGGGGTGACTGTGGGCGTGGTTTGGGTTTTGCTGGTGTACCGCAGGTGGGGGTGTGGGCAGTGTTGGGCGTAGCTTATGTGGGGGCGTCGTGGCGGGACCCATAGCAGGGGCAGCTGTGTCCTCCTCCCCTCTGGTCGCTGCTGTTACCTCACTCCTCACTGGTTAGTACTCAACCCTCATTGTTTGTACCGGTGTGACTTCCCCTAGTTAGTACTCAACTCTAGATTAACAGAGTGTAAACTTAGTTTATCATTATTTCAGGGAATCGTAAGAAGCAATTTTAAACGAATGACGTGATTTGTTTCCGATCGTGTTATTAAATTTCGTGATTCATGATGGCGTCTTTGAGGGGCCTTGAGCTAGATTTTCGCTACAGTTCCTCTAGCCTTAATGACCCCGAGCTGTAGTGCCAGCGGTAAAACTGCATGTGGGCCAGCAGACACAGACTGGTTGATTGGATCCTCAACCAAGAGACCCGGGCTGGGACCTGACTGTTTGACCTGTAACCTGGATATCGTCTTCAGGTAACCTTCACGGATAACTACCTTGTTAGGCAGTGTTTTGTTCTTTTAAATTGGCTGGCTTATGTCCTAATTATTGGTATATCTGCCCTTGAACGAGAGAAAACGCAGATTTGCTTCTTATAACATTTGGTGACGCAACTTTCAACTACGCTGAGTCCTGGTTTCCATGGTAACACTATCAGACCACACCCACTTATACATCAAACTAAATTACTTGGATGAAAGTGGGCGTGGTGGTGTGGGCGTGGTGGTGTGGTGATCTCTTGTACCTGACCAGCTGCTCCTGTCTACCTGACCAGCTGGTCTGGTGTATTGACCAAAGCTGCTCGGTTCTACCTGACCAGCTGGTCTGGTCTACCTGACCAGCTGGTCTGGTCTACCTGACCAGCTGGTTGGGCCCTACCTGGTCAGCTGGTCTGGTCTACCTGGTCAGCTGGTCTGGTCTACCTGGCCCAGCTGGTCTGGTCCTAACCTGGTCAGCTGATCTGACTAACCTGGCCAGCTGGCCTGGTCTACCTGGCCAGCTGATCCGGTCTACCTGACCACTGGGCCTGGTCAACCTGGCCAGAACTTGCTACGGAATCATCAAACAAATTAACCACGTCATGACACAGCTGAGAGAGAGTGAGAGGTGGACATAAACTCGCTTGTGAACACAGATGGCTTCATGCTGTGTATGTGTGTACTCACCTAGTTGTGGTTGCAGGGGTCGATTTACAGCTCCTGGCCCCGCCTGTTTGTTGGTCGCTACTAGGTTCACTCTCTGCTCATGAGCTTTATCATCCCTCTTCTTAAAGCTATGTATGGATCCTGCCTTCAGACACCCCCACACAAAACCAGGTGTGTATCAACCGCCCACCATTCATACACCCCCACACACACCAGGTGTGTATCAACGCCCCCCATTCATACACCCCTACACACACCAGGTGTGTATCAACGCCCACCATTCATACACCCCCACACACACACCAGGTGTGTATCAACGCCCACCATTCATACACCCCTACACACACCAGGTGTGTATCAACGCCCACCATTTCATACACCCCTACACACCAGGTGTGTATCAACGCCCACCATTCATACACCCCTACACACACCAGGTGTGTATCAACGCCCACCATTCATACACCCCTACACACACCAGGTGTGTATCAACGCCCACCATTCTTACACCCCCCAAACGCACACCAGGTGTGTATCAACGCCCACCATTCTTACACACCCCCAAAACACACCAGGTGTGTATCAACGCCCCCCTTTCATACCCCCACACACACCAGGTTGGTATCAATGCCCACCATTCATACACCCCCACACACACACACCGGGTGTGAAATCAACGCCCACCATTCATACACCCCCCCACACACACCGGGTTTGTATCAACGCCCACCATTCATACACCCCTCACACCCCTAGGTGTGTATCAGCGCCCAACATTCATACACCTCACACACAACACAGGTGTGTATCAACGCCACCATCATACACCCCACACACACCGGGTGTGTATCAATGCCTACCATTCATACACCCAAACACATACCAGGTGTGTATCAACGCCCCCATTCTTACACCCCCAACACACCAGGTGTGTATCAACGCCCACCATTCTTACACCCCCACACACACCAGGTGTGTATCAACGCCCACCTTTTCTTACACCCCCCACACACACCAGGTGTGTATCAACGCCCACCATTCTTACACCCCCACACACACCAGGTGTGTATCAACGCCCACCAATTCTTACACCCCCACACACACCGGGTGTGTATCAACGCCCACCATTCTTACACCCCCCACACACACCAGGTGTGTAAAACCGCCCACTTTCTTACACCCCCCAACACACCAGGGTGTGTATCAAGGGCCCACCATTTTTACACCCCCCACACACACCAGGTGTGTATCAACGCCCACCATTCTTACACCCCCACACACACCAGGTGTGTATCAACGCCCACCATTCTTACAACCCCCACCCCACACACCGGGTGTGTATCAACGCCCACCATTCTTAAAACCCCCACACACACCAGGTGTGTATCAACGCCCACCATTCTTACACCCCCACACACACACCAGGTGTGTATCAACGCCCACCATTCTTAAAACCCCCACACACACCAGGTGTGTATCAACGCCCACCATTCTTACACCCCCCACACACACACCAGTGTGTATCAACGCCCACCATTCTTAAAACCCCCCACACACACCAGGTGTGTATCACGCCCCCATTCTTACACCCCCACACACACAACCAGGTGTGTATCAACGCCCACCATTTCTTACAACCCCCCACACACACCGGTGTGTATCAACGCCCACCATTCTTAAAAACCCCCACACACACCAGGTGTGTATCAAACGCCCACCATTCTTACACCCCCACACACACCAGGTGTGTATCAACGCCCACCATTCTTACACCCCCACACACACCAGGTGTGTATCAACGCCCACCATTCTTACACCCCCACACACACCAGGGTGTATCAACGCCCACCATTCTTACACCCCCCACACACACCAGGTGTGTATAAACGCCCACCATTCTTACACCCCCACACACACCAGGTGTGATCAACGCCCACCCTTCTACACCCCCACCACACACCAGGTGTGAATCAACGCCCACCATTCTTACACCCCCACACCCCAACCAGGTGTGTATCAACGCCCACCATTCTTACACCCCCACACACACACCGGTGTGTATAAAACGCCCACCATTCTTACACCCCCACACACACCAGGTGTGTATCAACGCCCACCATTCTTACACCCCCACACACACACCAGGTGTGTATCAACGCCCACCATTCTTACACCCCCACACACACCAGGTGTGTATCAACGCCCACCATTCTTACACCCCCACACACACACCGGGTGTGTATCAACGCCCACCATTCTTACACCCCCACACACACCGGTGTGTATCAACGCCCACCATTCATACACCACACACACACCAGGTGTGTATCATTGTAATACACTCCACTGGCAGCTTACTGTAACACCGTCCTAAGAAATTAAAAGTCCCTCTATACGGGTGGTTGACGATGACAAAAAATTTAAATGACCCTCGTGCACTTGACAGACTTAAAGTTAGTTAGGTTTAAATACTAAAATCTGGTATAACCATAATTTTTAAAGTAATGGAGTAGTAAACCATGGGGAAGGCTTCGGTCAGATGACCAAAAGCTCCAGGGTGAGTCATCATATGATTAAGACCCACGTCATGAAACACTTGTCCCTGTTTTCTGACGAATCTTACCTAACGTATCACTATCACTGCTATAGGATTAAATTCTATCACTGGTTACGTTTAAATACATACTGGTTAACTAGGTTCAAAGTTGCACGCTAACAGCAAGGGGGAGTAAACACTCAAGAAAGGGCCCTAACAAAGGAACCACGAGTTTCCCCTTTCAGCTGCATTCATTAAATTAACGAACAACACTCGAAAACATCACGAAAAGAGAGAACAACAAAACAAGAATAACAGTAAAGAAGATACTAAGTTTTAGCACCCATGTCCGTCCACATCCACCGGCCCGCCCCAAACCCACGCCCACAACACCCACGTTTCTCCTCAGGTTCTCAGAGTCTCGTAAATCAAAAATTCTGGACGAGTTCACGCTGGATTTTCCCGGGAATTGTTGACGATCGGAAAGATAGCATTTGTGAGTTTACCGGGTATGGTTTATCTGGTGTGGGTTTACTGGGGTGTGGGTATGGGTTTGTCGGTATGTAAGGTGTGGGGACTGTGTGTGTGAAAAAAGGGGGTGGGCTTCACCGGGTGTGGGGATTGTGAGTGTGGGTTTATGGGTGCAATTTGATCGTATTGGATTTGTGGGTGGTTTTAGATGTTTCTAAACTGTGGGGTTATTTTAGCATGGATACCTGGAGGTTATCTGGAGGTTTTTTCCGGGGATCAACGCCCCCGCGGCCCGGTCCATGAAACCAGGCCTCCCGATGGATCAGGGCCTGATCAACTAGGCTGGGAAGCCTGGGAAATTTAGAAGGTGAATTAGGGTTTACGAATGTGTAGGGATGCGTATGGTACCTTCAATAATTTTTCATGTGGGAATTGCTCAGTTTTCTAATAATTTTTTTTAACGTATTAGATTTGTTGGCGAAGCGGGTAGTTTAAGCAACCTTTATTCATCCTGTGGATAGCAACGGAAGAATTTATATATCCATATGTCAGACTTTTCAGAAATACTTGTAACTAAGCCCAAATTCTCATTTGCTTTCAGCATCAATCATATATATATATATATATTTTATATATATATATATATATTATATATATATATTATATATATATATATATAAAATATAAAATATAATATATGCAAAACAACCACTCTGAAAGAATAGAGAAATTCCAAGCGCTTTCGTGACTACTCACATTATCAAGGAACTTCCTTGATAATGTGAGTAGTCACGAAAGCGCTTGGAATTTCTCTATTCTTTCAGAAGTGGTTATTTTGCATATTCTGAAATCACCTGTTTACTGTGATCTTATTGCATATATATATATATATATATATATATATTATATATTTTAATATATAATATATTATATATAATTAAATATATATTCTTCAAAAAGACAGAAAACCCAAACCAGTGTATATATACCAGGAATGTTTGTAAAAAAGTGGGAGGTTTGGGGTGGAAAATTGAAGATCATGTTTATACAAACATTTTTTAATTGATGGCGCGTTTTTGCATTGTGTGGTAAGAGTTGAGGCGTAAGACCTTTCTGTTTGGGCCCAAAGGATTTTGACCCTAACGGGGTGACAACCAACGTTAGAGAGACGCTGGTTTCTGATGAACCAACACACCCTTTCCATTTGCTTAATGATCCAAACGATCCCTTCCAGCCCAATCATTCTCTCCCCTCTCTTCTCACCCTTTTGTTTTCTTCCTCTCTCTCTTCTCTCTCTTTCTTTCCCCATTTTACCTCTCTCCCTCTTCTCCTCTCTCCTCTCTCTCTCTCTCCCCCGACATTCAAACACAAACACTTAACCGTCTGTGTGTTTCGTCCACCATGCATATGCAACCCCAAACAACATTGCCCAAAGCAAGATCCACAAGCCATCCCAGCCAACCGTCCAGCCGCCACAGCCCACCCAGCCCCACCCGCCAACGAAAACAGCCTTTGCAAGTCCCTGAGGTCAAAGTTTTGGAGAGAGGCAATATTTGCAGCGTTCCCCCCGTGTGTTGCAGAGGTACAGACGATATTGCATTTTGTCCCCCGCTATTAATCGGTTGTAGTAAAGGGGCAAGGGAGTGTTGGGTGGGTGTGTGTGTGTGTGTGGGGTTTTATCAGTATATACACACGTTTTGTATAGACGGTTTAGGTTGTATAAATGTTTGCGGTAGTGATGTGAGAGAGTTACTACATTTGGCTCCAAACCGTGGGACAATCGAAAACTGCTTCTGTACCACAAGACGGGCAGTAAACAATAGCTACCCCCCGGCTGTCCCCTTCTGGGGAGATCACTTCATCTGAGTCTTTTATTCCTAAATAACCTTTCTGGAACAGTTGCACACATAACATTCATGAAATATAGCCGTTGACCAAATGAAATATCTGGTTCCACAGCTGGTTTCCCAACTTCATCTGGTCCACACCTGGCCCACAGATGTCTCCAACTTTATCCTGCTCCCTATTTGTATATCTCATAACAATAAAAAAAAACTTTCAAATGAGCCGAGGTAAGTAACATCTCGTAGCTTGTAAATAAAGTTTGCATCTCTTAACCCAACCTTGTAAAAAAACTTTTAAATTAAAAAAAAAAACAAGAGAGATATTCAGAACATTCCCAGTGGGAAAATATTTAAGGGCTTCACAATAAAAATTAATGTTTTACCAGCGACACGTACAGAGGTTATCAGTCAAACGTCTTCGTTGTCACCATAAAAAGGGAAAATCTTTTGTCAATTTCGTTAGGCTGCGCTTAGGTCCTGGCATCTTATTATTATAATCATGTGGGAGCGCTAAAACCCTTAGGATTTATACAACGCGGGGGGGGGGGGGAGGGATGGAAAGGTATTCAGGCTAAATTTTCAGGGAACTGGAGTAACAGATCCAATTCCCTTGATCAAGAGCCCCTCCCAGCGTCAAGGAACCTCCCTTGAGGGAGGTCCTGGCATCACTGAGGTAAGGAGTCCAGGGATGCATACACTCAACAGCCGAATATTATTATTTTTATTATTATTATTATTATTTATTATTATTATTATTATTATTATTTATTAAAATTATTTGCTAGGTAAAGTATAGTGGGACAGGAATGAAGAACGGGTGGGGTACGTGGAATAAGAGAAATAGAAAGGGGTAGGAAATAGTGCAGTTAAAAGGGAGAGGGAATAAAAGAAAAGAAAATAAAGAAATGGACGGAAGGGGGAATAATAGGAGAGAGAAATGTCAGTTTGGGGGGGCAAGAAATGTCAGTTGGGGAAGAGGATGAGGAGAAGGAAAGGGGGAGTGGTGGTAGACATCACAAAATCATAATAATGGCCAGGGATGACCTGGGGGGTGGTCCTATTTTTTCACCCTTCCTCCTCCTCCTCCTCCTCCTCCTCCACCCTCCTCCTCCCTCCCCTCCTCCTCCCCTCCCTCCTCTCCTCCTCCTCCATCTGGGTGGGGAGTATGAGAAAGAGAGGAATAAATAGATAAAGAAGGGGATTAGGAGGAGGTGATGATGAGCAGTGAACCACAACTGACACACTCCCTCAGCGGTATATAGTTTCCTCTTGTTCCTTCCCGTTGTTCTCATGTGTTATGTCAGTGCTTTTGTTGTGTTTGTGTGCAGATTTATTTTGTTGTTGCTGTTAGCAATGTTGTGTCTGTCTGTGTATTTGTCTTTGTATCGATTTATATTCTTTCCAAATCTTATAAAAACTAACAAAAAGACCTACAGTTAATTACCCCATTAAAAACTTACACTTTCTCAAGTAATTATATCAACCGTTACAAATGATTATATATATATATATATTTTATATTAAAATATATATATATATATATATTATAAATATATATATATATAATTTTAATAAATATATTTTTATTATAATTATATAAAATTATATTATATATATTTTATATATATATATATATATATATATATTTTATTATATATATATATATATATATATATAATATATATATATAAAAATATTAAAGCAGTCACACAGCATGATGGTGACTGCACTTATTACATTGGAACCTACCTTCCTTCCCTTTATCTCCTATCCTTCCATTCTTTCTCCTCCTGTCTTTTCTCTCTTCCCTTTCTTTCTTCATTCGTCTCCTCCCCTTCTATCCATGTATGTCTTTTTTTTTTTTTTTACCCCTATCACATTGGTGATGTATCCAATTTTACCGAATAAAAAATTTCCTTCACGCGAGGATCTTTCCCCACCTCTTAATATCTTTTCCCCCGCTCCATATATTTTCTTTTCCTTCCTTCCCTAACATCTCCTCTCCTAATAACCCCCGACCTTTCCTCCTCCCCATTTCTACTTCCCCTTGGCGTCAGCTACCTAGGCAGATACCTATGTATTGTCAGACCTCGACAACCTCAGACATATACCACAGGGCCATTTATTAGTTGTTTCTCCTATGTATTCATCTTCCTCATTACTTCCCTGAACCCATTGCCGTACCGATATCATATCCCTTAGAAGACACTTTGTGTGTGTGTGTGTGTGTGTGTGTGTGTGTGTCGGGGACTGGTCATCCCGAGAGATGGTAATTCCCACTTAACAGTAACTGCAGCTCTGAAGGAAGAAAACCTTTGAATTATTATAATCATGGGGAGCGCTAAACCCGTAGGATTATACAGCGCATGTGGGTGGGGGAGGCATTCAGACTCAATTCAGGGAACTGGAGCACAGATCCAATTCCCTATATCAAGAGCCCCTCACCAGCGTCCAGGAACCTCCCTTGAGGGGAGAACACCTTTGAAGCTGCCGTAGATACTGAACCCATAGGCTTTATAAACCACGGTACAGGGGGTGCTTGAATTCGCGGCAACCATAGGCTTTATATCGTTATGGCCTAACTGAAGTCTCCCAGCTCAGGCTGACACATTTCATTACCCTCGTATATGAGAGAGTATCCAGCGTGATAGAATTTGACAGGGAAACATTGCTAGCTTCTGTTCCCTCGATGTAAGTCTCACATCCAAATTCAATTTTTTCTTTATTTTTATATGGTACAAAGATAATGTAGTTCACATATAATAAAAAACTGTTAGGCACAAAATAAAGCCACTAGTATGGAAATGTATTTAATTAATGCTTCAAGACTGCTTAAGAATTATACAGTCTATCAAGTAGAATTTTTGATGCAGTTAACTATGTATTATTATATACATAGAATTATATACATATAGAATAATGTATGTAAGCGTACATTTACCCACCATGTAACTATCATATTGAATGGACTAGCCACACTGTGGGTGTTCCCATTGTGTAACTATCATATAGAGTAGCCACATACTGTGGGTTTCTACCATGTAACTATTATATATAATAGTGAAATGGCATATTGTGGGTGTTCCCACCATGTAATTATCATATAAAATAATGCATCTGAAGAGTGCGTGTTCGCACCCTTGTAACTCGTGAAAGCATGTAGCAGCACAACGCTGCTGTGCCCAGCTGCTGATTACACAACACTGTGTCCACAGGTTTCTGCTACGTGGAGCTGGTGTCGTGGAGTGGTCAGTGTTCAGGTCAGGTGTATACTGTCACCTACCAGCTGGTGGGGGAGCTGCCTGCCTTCACCCTGGGTATAATCAACACCCTCTTTACTGCCTCCACCCTGGCAGCCGTCAGCAAGTCCCTGGTAAGTTATGTTGGGGTCCAGTAGCTACTAGATACATTAAAACACAGACGCTAGTTAGAACTGGTAAGTCATCTAGTCAACTAGGCAGATTCTTAGGACGTGGTTTCCTTAAGACACCTGCTGTCACTGTTCACCTAGCAGTAAAATAGGTACTGGGGCGTTAGTTGACTGGTATGGGTCGCATGATAGGTACAAACTTGACCTAATTTGCCCGAAATGCTCTGCATAACAAGGACGCACTGACTTTCTTGGGTTATCCTGGGTGGCTAACCCTCCGGGGTTAAAAATCCGAACGAAATCTTATGTTAAATAAATATTATTATTATTATTTACATCATGACTATTTACAATCGTAAGAACACAATTCAAACAGAACTCCCGTAGCCCTACCACTTCAAAAATTAGGGTTATGTATTGTATGATAATTGTAATCATCTAAACTTGCGTAGATAACTGTACCTTAATTTCTTTTTTATTATAATAACTGTACCTTAATAAACTTACTTGCTAATCTCTATTCTAGGACTTAGAATATGATTTTTTATATATTTTATTTAAAATACAATACATAGCTTAACATAAAAAAAACCTTAAACAAGGGTTAATATACATTTAATATAAATACATTATGAAACACAATCCCTCAGGACGTACAATAGCAAAATAACAAACGCAATATTAACAGACACAAAGAGGTTACACAAATATTCTAGAAAATATCGCTTGTGACAAAACATAACATTAAGAAAGATGGGTAATCTTAATCCTATTTACACAAGAACAACAACAAGGACATAACATGTAGGTGACCCCTGTAACAGGTTCAATAATATAATTAAATCCATAATCCCGTCAGGTATACACTATTTACATAATATTACTGTGACATATTGCCAATGCACAATACAATAAGAAGAATATTACGATAAATATAACGGTTACTCACAACCTACACAATAAATGAAAGGACCTACATCACATTCTCATGATAAAACAAAGTACATACTCTTACTCATCTAACCCCCCAGTACATAAGTTCCCTAGTCACACATACTCGCCTTACCACAAGTCTTACGAGTCAGCCACAAAACTAGAAAAGCCGTAAGCATTCCGCACTCATCTACGGGCTATACACATTATATAATTAGCAATAAAATGCTCGGTACAAACACATAAAACCCCGTTTGCCAGGGCAAAGCCTAAAGGTAAATCAAGTACTTCAACAAAGAAAGAAGGCAGTAAACTCTGACATAAGACATCTATAACACATTATATAACTGCACCACCACATCCTCTCACACAACTACATTTACCACAACCACACATTACACTGATACAGCAACACAGCCCTTGTGCATACCCAACCCCGGAGACGAGCCGTTCCATCCCCTGAACTTCAACCCCCTCTCCTTTCACAACGCTAACAATGTTCTCACACTCATACTACGGTACCCTGCTGAAAAAGCCTGGTCCCAGCGACTTCCATATATTTCCCGATTACAACACAACGTTCTATAAATGGTCGCCGCCAACACCCTTTTGCGCACCTCTCAATCCCCATTCTCTCTCATCGCCCAGGATACAAAAACAAAATCCGCAATTATATAAGTGATTGCACGTTGCACAGGCGCCTCTACGCCTCCCACGTCCAAACTTAACGCCCTCAATACTGATATCCCGCCTCCTCCCACTGTCCCTGATACTCCCCAAATTATCACAAAAATACACTACATGAAACGCCATCTCCTCATCCCCGCACACCTGACACGCGCCCTCCACCATCAACCCTCTTTCCTTAAGTGCAGCACCCGATGGCAGTATACCATGGAGAAAACAGAAAAATACCTCTCGCACATTTGGTCGCACGCACATCAACCGTAATATCTCCCATATATCCTTCCACGCATACATAGGGTAGATACTCTCAGCCTTCGCGACTAGCGTCGCCCTTACAACACGCTCTAAAACACCCACTCGAACTTTATTAGGGTCCCGGACATGCAGCAACGCCCACAACACATCTTCACACACCCTCATTTCCGACCCTCCCCACCACATTTGCACCTCTTCATGTAAGTCATTTACGCCCCTCCTCGCTTGACCCCGCACATGGCGTAACCCCCACTTCAAATAAATACACTTGACTCTTAACCGTAAATCAATCAACCCCAATCCTCCTCTGTTGACCGTAAAGTACCACACTCCTACTCAACCATTCACACCTGGAACCCCAAAGAAAATGGAAAACCCTCTTTAACACCCTCGTAACATCTGGACCTGCTAACGGATGTACCGCTGCCACTTGCCAGACTTTACTGTATAATAACACATTCACAACAATCGCAACGCTGATGTACTGTTAAATGAGTTGGTCTCAACCCATCCAAGCGCCCTCCCACTCGATCCACAACAAGTCCAGAATTAATCATCCTCGCCTCTCTCGCACTACCCATATACACTATCCCACACACTTTTATCCTGTCCACCATATTCCAACGTACATTCCATCCCCAACTCTCTCTTCCCACCCAATCTCCTAAGACCAGTAAATTTGATTTTTCCACATTAACTCTTAAAACCAGTAACCCCGCGAAATTATCAATAACATCTCCTACCGCACGTAAACTCCTCAGCGTTCGCACGAGTATTGTCGTGTCATCCACGTACCCTATTATTCCCTGCTCTCCATTTCCTACTCCCCAATCCACCTCCATACACGCTCCCACCGCTCTATAGAAAGGGTCTGTTAAACAGGCAAACAACAATTGAGACGGGGACAAACCCTGCCTAATACCCCGACCCATGGATACCCACTCCCCCAACTTCCCATTTACTTGTACACACACTCCCACACCTTTATACAATGTCTCTGCCCAAAGCACCACCTCCTCCCCAAAACCCTGCCTCCTTAATATGTACCGACAACACCTCACGTTCTCTACACTATCATACGCCGCCTGCCAATCTAACGACTAAGACACCCCCCCCTGCTCCCCTTCCCGTCCCTTCCACAAAATTCTTTATAATACATGCCCGTCATACATCGTCCTCCCAAACACACACCATATTGTCCTCTCGCAACCACTCTATCCACCACACACTTCAGCCTATTTCCTAAAATTTTTGCAAAAATCTTATAATCAGCACACAGCAATGATATTATCCTAAAGTTCTGCACCGTGTCTTGTCGCTTACCTTTTGGCACTAAAACCACAACCACAGTTCCTTGCACCTGCCTCATCCTCACTCCCTCCCTTTTCATCGTATTCATTAGTTCTACTAAGAAGGACTTCAACACATTTCAATGGCTCACATAAAACTCGCAGGGCAGCCATCCAAACCTGGTGCCTTACCTCGTGCCATCCCCCTCTAAAGCCCTCCACACCTCCCTTTTCTTCAATATCCCCCCAATGCCATGCAATCACTGCCACTTAGCACATAAGATACATTCTCCCCCAACCCCCCAAAAGCCCCTACATCCACCCCTACACTCAGTAAATTTCTTCCAAACCACCTATCCACGTAATCACTCATCGCCTCCGTTGTTCTTAACTCCTGTCCCACCCTATATCCACCTAAGTCCTCATGTACTACCAGCCTATCAATTTCCATAGCCATACGGCGCTGCCTCTGTCCCCATAACACACAGGCCGATGGGCGATCACCCCACACCGCCTCTTCAAATCCACCCTGCACTCTCACCGCATCAAATCTGTCATTCTGCAAATCTCGAATCCTCCCTTTTAACAACTCGATTTCCTCCATGGGATACTGCCCTGCCTGCACGCCCCTCTCATAACAACCTTGCAACCTACCCTCGAAATACTGCTGCAACCCGTACGTCATCCAACCCTGGTACTTTCCCCATCGCACATAAAACTGCCGGATCCTCTCCTTAGATACCCCATCCCACCACCCTAGCAAGTCACCCACATCCCTACCCTCTCCCCACAAATTGTCCCACATTGTCCCAAAATCTAACCCCGCCTCCTCCACCCCAAGAAGGCTCACATTTAACTTCCAATACCCTGGATACCTCTTAGGCAAGCTGGCCCAAGTCAAGTCCGCATAAACAGCTCTATGATCAATGTATACAGCATCTACCGTATGCACGCACATCACCCGCACACATAACTGAGCAAGTTAGAGGTAATCATTCGTTTCTCAACCTGCGGGCTGGGAGGACGCACTCTGAACTTGCTCTGGCTTTCACCTAGTGGCAGCCTGTGTACTACAATTCCCAAGATGGCGGAACGCCAAGGTCGGAGAGTGAACACAGTCTGTGTTGCATTTACCCATGGCTCCCTCAGTGGTTCTACGATGCATACATTAATGCCTTGCATCATACGTGACGTCTTCGGCATCCCCAATGAAGAATTATATGGCGTAGCGCTGAATGGGATGACGAGGATATTTGTGAAATTCGTGAATGCCGGCTTCTACTCAAAAGATTGTACAAACCTATCAAGAAAGGAGGATGGTGGTGATTACGGCTGTGGAGGTTTGTCTGCATGATGTGTCAACGTATGTTACCTGGGTGAGGGCCAGAAACGTACCTTTTGAAGCTGAGGAATATGATCTGCGGGATGTTTTTGGCAAATATGGTATGGTGCATGCAGCGACCAAGGGAGTGTGGAGAGAGGGTCCATACGAGGGGCTCCCGGAGGGCTCCATCATCAAGATGACGCTATGACAACCAATTCCATCTTTCGTACGTCTGGAGAAATACAGGACTCGGGTATTTGTTCATTACGCTTGCCAAAGGAATACGTGCAGATTATGCAACTCTTATGAGCACCTGGCTGCCCAGTGCCCCTGCCGACTGGTTGCACGCTCTCGGGACCCTTCACCTGTGGGTCAACAGACTGAGGCCGTCGTGCCTGAGTCTGGTACCTCTGAGGGGCACGGTTCTAAGCTTTGGAGTGACGAGATGAATGAACAGGACATGCAATCTTCCACGTGTGCCACCCTGTCAGTGGATGCCACAACCGTGCCCACGA